CCCCCCCCCCCCCCCCCCCCCCCAAGAAGAAAACCCTGCTGGATCCCAATCCGCGCGTGGCTGCAATGCGTCACGTCAACAGGCATTGAACAATAATCGGGCGTCGTAATTTGAAACCGGCTGACGCGCCGACGGGCATGAAAGCAATCAACACCCTTCAAACTAATCAAAAAAATCGACTCTTGCAATGGAAACCGCATGCAGAAACGAGTCGTCCTCTGTAAACAACATGCCCACCACCGCACAGCAGCACGCAGTACGGGGGCAACGCCGACGATCCAGAAGCACTTACGAGGCATTCGCGTGGATGTTGGACATGTGCGGCCCATCGACTTCATGATCGTTCGCGGATCGCTTTAGCAATCTCCATAAGGGCGTTGCACATCAACAGGTTCGCCTGGTCGACCTTCACGTAGTGTTCCTTCTGCACTTCTAGCTCTCGCTCGAGAATGTCGCATTGCCTAGTCAGAATTGAGCACTGCCTCTTGCTCGCGCTGTCCACCGTCGTCGCCATCAGACTCCGTGGTCCTTCATGACGTCCGCAATCGTGTCGAAGGTCTGTTGTCTCACATTCTTCCTTTTGCCGCACCCCCCACAACACCGCCGCTGAAACTTGAATTCCGCGTCGATCCCTTTTCGTCGTCCTGCCCATCCCCGCATCCGTCACTACCGCCTGAATCGTTCCGACCTCCAGTCCGGCCTGGTAGTTGAACACCTCCCGCCGCACCTATGTCCGCCAGATTCGTGGGGTGTATAGTGTTATCACCCTTGGACATGGCCATCATCTCCGAATACACACGCTCGTCCATCCGAAAATCGAACCCCCGCTCCTTTCTCTCCCGCGGCGCCAGTGTAAAAAAATCAGGCTTCCTCGATTCTCTCATGAACTTGTGCACAATTTTGAACTGCATCTACAGGTTGTCCCATTTTTTCCCGCAGTCGTCGGCCTTTCTAGTCGTCACCCCCATCTGCACGAGCCTGCTCTCGATGTCGGCCCACTTCCATGTCTTCGTCTTCATCCTTCCCATGTTGTGGCCGAGGCCAGCAAGATGCAAATCCTGCTCTCTTTTAGCTCTGACAAGAGCAATCATGTGTTCCACGGTCCAAAAATCCCTGCTTTTCGCTCCGTCGCCTGCCGACGCATCTCCCACAGTCTTCTTGCCTCTCCGCCCCGCGCGCAGCTCGCTGGACTTGCTCGTCGCCCTGGGCCCTCCCCGTTTCTTCCCCAGCGGACGAATCTCCATCTCCCCGTCGTCGTCGTCGTCGTTGTAATTGCCCCCGTCGCCTGCCGAGAAATCTTCACCACCCGCACCGTCGCAATCGCTGGGTGTGTCGTCCGCCCGTACATTGATCTTCGCCACCCCTCTCGTTATGGCGGACGTGCTAGATTGACGCGATTGTCGTCGGTAATCATCCCAAACCTCTCGCCCCGCGACCTCCGCAGCGTAGCCGTCAGCGTCATCCCCTCCTCGGTGGACTGCGCCGCCTGCCGTTGTCGACCACCTGTCCTCGTCCCCTCCGCGTGAACACCTGTTGTGACCACTGCCGCCCGCCCTCGCGAAACAAGTCCATGTTCGTCGCCCGACTGACCAGAACCCCGGCAGCGGGTGTCAGGAAGGCCACACGGCCCCACCGAAGGTGCTGTGTGGTTGTTGGCAGAACCCGGGTTCACGAGAACGGTGTGCGTGACATCCTGGCCACTCCCAGACCTCAAACCGAAGTTGAGATCTACGAGCCCTTCGTCATAACCAACCGGGGTCCGCCCCTCCAGCAGATCAGTGTACGTTGGCGTCGAGGGTTGTCTGTACAGCTGGCTCCCCATCCAATCATGCGTCGAACCGCTGCCCAGAGGAACCGTTGATGATCGGGGCTCGTCGCTGTCGTCGTCACTCGGAGGCAATGGAATCTCGTGGGACGGCAGGTGGCTGTACAGCGTCGGGTCGTACGGGCGCCTGCCGCCTTCCGCAAAGCTGCAACGCTGACGTGGCGACCCGCCAGCCCCTACGGACATCGTCCTCTTCGTCTGCACCTTCTCCATCTTCCCGGTCGCCTTTGTCGTTCGCCGCCTCTGTTTCCTCCCAGGGACGCGACCGACGATGCAGATATGAAAGACGACAACGGCAAGCAGCAGTACAGCGGCAAGCAACAACAAAGGCAGCCTGCGGCACAGGTCAGCCATGAAGGAGAGGGGACGCACTTGGCTGTCGCGATCGTGGCGACCGGAGACACACGTTGCACGAGGGAAGACGCCAATGTACGAAATCGCTGCAGCCACCGGCCGGGGGTGGACGCTTAAAGAAATTCGTGTTTCCGACCGTTGGGCAGCCCGCGGTAACGCTACGACACCTCCACGACCCGCCCAAAATCGTTCGATGCCCGGCACGGCACCGCCGTGGGGCCGCCCGACGAACCGACAGGGACGTACCGCCAATCCCCGACAACGGCAAAAAGACGAGGCCGTTCGTGGACGTTTTGGACGTTGGCGCCTCGCGATGTCCGTCTTCAACACGGATGACCAGCACTGGACCACCTCCGACCACCAATTTCCCTTTTCGACTCACCGCCGACACCCCGATTATCGTGGATCCTCGGACTCCGAGGGACCTCGCGAGGTCCCTTGGAGCCGAGGACGATTTGGCAGGAAAATCCTCGGAGCCCGAGGATTTGTCCTCGGAGTGTTTTCACATTTCGGTTTCGAAAATCGGCTTCGAGGACAGGTGGAACGAAGACGAAATCCTTGGAATCACGTCCCCGAGGTGTGTCGAACGACGCCCTTAGACAGGGGACCCCTGCAAACATAGCTTTGTTGTCTCCCTCCAGCCATCAGAGGGGATGCATGTTGCCCCCCGCCCCAACCATGTTGGTCAAGGATGGGATGGGGCCGCCGGTGGGGGTCCGGCTAACGCAAAGACCAAGCATTTTGCCAGTAGCTGCGCCTCCCTTTTCATCGTCCCCCACCCCCAACCGAATAACAGCAGTGTCTAAGGCTAACACTCTCCCACACACCATACACAACCCACTCACACTCACACTTACAACCGTGTTGGCCAAGGACCCTGCTATTACCGATCAGAGGTATCAAGCGGACTATCACTGCTGGTTGGCACTAAGTGCGCCGCAGGCGGTTGTGGGGCTCAAACCCACAACCTCCTGAATGCCACTTGCGTGCCTAAACAGCTGAGCTAGGCTGCTGGATCACGACATATTTATAGGTTTAGAACAAACACAAAAAAAAACTGTAACCGCACGTAGCGTGGGGGTGCAGCCAGGGCAGAGGGGTTGTAGAGGGGACAACGATAGCGGGCCGGGAGGCCGAAGTGGCGAAGGGATAAGTCCTCTCAGAAAGCAGGCGAGATGCACAGGGCCTTGTTTATCACACCTTACACATTGCGGAGGCCTGAATTTATATTGCATTTTCAAGAGTTTTTTGTGGTTTGTACACTCTTTTTTGCCCACCCATTTTTTTATACACGCATTTGGTGATCACTCTACCCCCTTGACTTGACTTATCTACAGAAACATCTAAATCGTAGACGTCAAGGCACAAAAGTGGGATTCAGTAGGGGCTTCATTCCAAGACCCTCGACTTAAAAAAGAAAAAAGAAAAAAGAAAAAAAAAAAAGACCCATGTTTGATTCCGGTCCTTGCCTAAGACCGGTCACCTCACAACCTCAACCCAACCTTGAAACGTTCGTCGACCGCACCCTCATTTTGGCTGCATCCGGGGAAGACCATTCAGCTCAGAAGGCACAAAAGTGAGATTCAGTAGGGGGCTCGTTCCACGACCCTCGACTTGAAAAAACTAAAAAAAAAAAAAAAAAAAGAGACCCGAGTTCGATTGCGGTCCTTGCCTAAGACCGGTCACCTCACCCTCAACCCAGCCTTGAATCGTTTGTCGACCGAAGAAAATGAGAAAAAAAAAAAAACAAAAAAAACAGGCTTGAGTCGTCGACGACCAAATCGAACGACCCACTTACCTAGGAGCGGTCAATCAAATTCAAGCTTGAGTCTTCGACGAACCCTTTTTTGTCAGGCTTGAGTCGTAGACGAACCCTTTTTTGTGAAAAATGTTTTGTAAAAAACGGAAAAAAAAAAGAAAGTCAACCGGCACACAAAAGACTTCAGGCTTGAGTTCAAAAAAAGAGTTCAACCGCCACACAAAAAAGAATGGAGCACCATTTCCCCCCCCCACCCCCCACCCCCAAAAAAAAGACTGGGGAAAAAAAAGGGAAAAAAAGAATTTGAGCTGCTGCGGTGCAACGACGCCCGATCACCCAGTCCAGACGCTCAGCGCCCAGTCCAGACGCTCGGCGCCCCGCTAGGACTTCCCCGCCAAAACCCCCGACAGTTCATTGGTGTACCCACTGAGGTAGGCTCTTCGAATCCAGTGCACAATCCACTCCAAAAGACCTCCAAACAAAAAGAACGTGTGGCTGCTTTAGGAAAAAAAAAAAAAAAAAAACACCACCCCATGCAAAAAAGAGTAGAAGGGCCATGATGCAAGAACTCATCCAGAAAAGAACCCCCGACAGCCCCACCAAAAAGACAACCGTCCACCCGAAAAGGAAACCTGGTTTCCGCCCACCGCAGGCCCGACCGACCTTATGAAACAACCCCTGGACGTGCACTCCCCAAAGCCTACCACAACCACTCGCACTACCGGTCCGTCTCCTAGCCTGGACCGCACCCTTCCCACCTTTCCCTAAAGCCCAAAAACACCCAGCCAAACCTCGATTACAGTCCATGACATTTCCTGAAAAAGAAAACCGACCCTTACAACTCAGGTAAGCACAGCCTCTGGCTACAACGTAAAAGGGGACCTCTTTCACATTTGGTGAGTGGCGCGGCTACGAGTTTTTTTTTTTTTTTTTTTTTTTTTTTTTTTTTTTTTTTTTTTTTTGATGCGGTTACGTAGTCCCTGGAGGTTCTCTAAGGTTTTCATTTCGTTAGTGGGATGGGGTGATGCGGCAGGGTCCAACATTTCAACACTTCATCGGTGTCCGAATTGAACGAGGCCCATGCATTTCATTTCGTTAGCGGCAGGGTCCAACTAATTGGGGGACCCCACAGGAATGCGGGAAGGAAGAATGTTTCCGCGAAACTGTTTCCGGGACCCCACATGCAGCACAGGACGTTCTGGCAAAACCAAAATGTCTTCCAAATACCGGTTTCCGAGACCCCACAACCCGCAAATAATGGCATGGAAGAACGAAACCCCCACAACCCGCAAATAATGGCATGGAAGAACGCTTTCCATCGTTTCCATATCATCCGTGGCGTGGAAAAGTGGCTCCGGAGGACATCTCGCCGCGAATTTGTGCCGAAAGTTGAGACTGGGGGAGGGAGTGCGCGGGGTACTTTCCAAAGTCTCGTCCACCGTTTGGACCAGCAAGTGTCCGGCCCCTTGGCCTACATCACCCACTTGAGGCGGCACTGTCATTCCTTCGGTCCACCCACGCTTCCGGACATTCGGCCACTTTCCTTTTCGGGATGCTGAACGGCCGCATTTCCTATAATGGAATAGAACTTGCTTTATAGGAAAAGAACTTGCGTGCCGCAAAACTCAGTCTGGGACCGGCAAAAGAGTTACCAGCCTTTCCAAAATCGTTCAGCCGCTTTTTGTGGCCAAACGTCTTCTCCATTGTTTTTTGCTGTGGGGTCCAACTCTAAGTGGCCTACGTTCTTCCCCCAAATATAACGTACGGTCCTTAGAGCTGTATGTGAGGCATCTTTCAGTCTAGATACAGCTATAATGACTCGGGGGAAGAAGGTAGATGGTTCGAACTCCGGTGTGCCTTTCAGCACTTCATCGGTGACCCAACTGAGCTACAGGCACGTTTGTTTTTCCGACGCGCAGTTGTCTTCTCGACGCAGCGCCGTCGGGATTTCCCGCTCAGCTTTGGTGCAAACTGGTGTGTTTCACCTCTCTCTCTCTCTCTCTCTCTCCCCCTCCGGTGTGTGTTTGACCCCATAGTTTTCAGATGAACCAATAACAGACGACTTTTTTCCGGTCAACTACCAATAACTGACGTCTTTCACCTCTCTCTCTCTCTCTCTCTCTCTCTCTCTCTCTCTCTCTGTCTGTGTGTGTGTGTGTGTGTGTGTGTGTGTGTGTCCGCGGTGTTGTGCCTGAAGATGTGGAGAGTTCCTTTGACACTCGGCCCAAAGTGGAAGTCGGCGAGTTTGCGCGGCGTGGGGAAGCGGACATTCCCTTCGCCCCTCCCTCCCTCCCTCCCTCCCTCAGCGGTGTTGTACGTGAAGAGGAGGAGAGTTTCGTTCACGGTCGGATCAAAAACAAAATAGGTGCGTTCCCGCGGCGTCACGAAGTGCACCCTCTCCCTCTCTCCCTCGCCCCCCCCGTTCTCCACGTACATCTCTCCTTCCCTCTTCCCTCCGTCCGTTAGGGGGGCAACCGCATTTTCTGTGGGGGTGCTATCTTGCAAGCGGGACCGAATTTGTGCGCGGCCGCCATCGGAACTAGGGGGGGTAGGAGAAGGTCATGTGGCTGGTCAGGCAGGCCGGAGGAGGACTAGGTCGCCTTCGAAATCGTGAAGAGGAGTTGGGAGTAGCAGGCGGACGACGGCGGGCGAGGCTGAGAATGCGGGATCAGGAGGACGAGAGGGTCAGGATTTTGTCGGTCAGAATGGGATGCGACGGCAGAGGAAGCAGCAGAAGGAGAATCACGGGGATGGGCTGAAACATGGGTGAAGCATGGGTGAAGCATACAATGTAATGTAGGTTTGTCGGCGTTAAGGAGGTTGTGGAGGGGGGAAGACTCCGAGGAGGGGTGCTAAAGCAAATGGGAGGAGGATGTGGAGGTCGAGGACCCAATTTGCGAAAAAGGGGGGATGAGGTCTTTTTATCTTTGGAGGACTTGGGGTGTTCGCGTCAAAGGGAGACTGGACCCGTTTTCCAGGAGTCTAAACGGGGTTTTGGCCCCAGTATTTTCTCGGGATTTTGTCGGGTTTCCCGGCCCCGTTCCTTGTGATACTTTGCAATAATTTGCGGTTCTCCCAAAAAAAAAAAAAAAAAAAGCAGAAGCAGAAGAAGAAGAAGAAGAAGGGGATGGGCAGCGCGGATTGGGAGGGGGCCGATCTGGAAGCGGGGTAGACAGGAGTAAGGTCAGAATGGCAGCCAATCAGGGTGAGGAGGTAGGAACCGATGAAGTGCAGGGGAAAGAAGGCGGAGGCAACAGGGTAGGGGAATGCAGGTCGTGTAGGGGATGATCTGGACAAGGTGGGGAAGAAGAGGATCTTGGACGGCAGGAAGAGGATCTGAAAGCGGAGGGGAGGGAACAGGTTGGAAGGAAAGGAGAGAGCAGGATAATGACGA